AAACACTGGTAAAGTTAGATGTTTCACAATAAATGTGAAAGTTCATACTATATAATCTCTTAAAATGAACCTTTTCATCCTTTCCACAGCGTGAAACTGTTATGGCTTAATTATATTAAAAGTAGAAAAGTCTTTCCCAGAGGAAATACAGTCTGCAAAGATGCACATGCATTTCCTATCAGTGCTATGTCATACTTAACAACTGCATGACTTGCCTGTGTAGTCAAGAGGTGTTTGTGGAAAAACTGAGGTTACAGCATTTGATTCAGTCTAACCATAAACTGTAAGGCCCTTAGTTTGGTTTAGGATTCTTTTGCAAGATAAAATAACCTTGGGGTTCACTTAGCAAGTTACACCTCAGGTCCCTGACTATATTGTGTAAGTATATGCATGCTTTGTGAAAATGTTACTTATGAATCTTAAGAGGAAAAAAATTATTATAGGCAAGGAATCAACTCTACAGTTAATGTTGGCATTTCTTATCAAACAAAATCCACCAAAGAAATATAAGCATATGTCTTGGTTATTTTATTCCTGCAAAATAGTATATTTTCTAGCACTTATGATAATTGTTTTGGTAAAAAATATGGAGGGAAAATAGCTGATTATTGTGAATAGAAACAAAAAAATACTATTGACGACAAACCTATTCTGATTAAGTTACACTTATGACTGCTTTCTGTAATGAAAAAAAAGTCAATCTAGAGTATCTTGCATAGGTAAACTACTTGGAGGTCAAGGGCTACGTGGTAGCCAGGGTTTCGTTAATGAATAGTGCAGAGCAGGTAAAGTTGTTGGAAGAATCATTGGATAAATCTTTAAACAAAAAGTCTAATGTCACAGTTAAGACAAAGCCTTAAGAAACTAGAAGGGCACCAAGGGTGACGGGGGAATCTAAGGGCTTCCTTCTCCAGTGAGTGTTGTTTGCTTCTCCCCAGTAAAGAGGGGAGACTTACTACAGAAGAATAAAAGAAGTGGTAGTGAAGATATGCCAGCTGCTTTGGAAATACACATTTGCTTTTTAAAAATCTTTTAAAAATGTTTATATAAAGGGTATCAAATATTTGTTTCACTTATGGCATGAAAGCAAAATAAGGGAAGGGTTAGCAGTAAGGCTACAGAATGAGGTCAATTATGCTGAACAGCAATTTAGGGAGCATACTAATTATTGTTTCTGTCTAGCTCCAAGAACACATATGGACAGCAGCTACAAAACAACCAAAAAACCAGGGTCTGTGTAAAGTATCAGAAATCCCAAAGCCACTGTGTGTCCGTAGGCAAATCTCTGTCCTATCTCAGTTATATTGGTCACCATTAATGACTAGCTTTCCCTAGACAAAAGATACGATGCTTAATTTTTTAAGATTGCATTAAATAAAAGTCGAGGGTACCAGTAACAGTCTGAAGGCTGTAGCTCCTCTTGTTCTCTTTGTGGTGCTAGAAATAAAACCCAGGGCCTTTTACATATGAAAGGCAAGACCTTCTCTCTTACATAGGAAGCAATTAGTTTAATACATAATCGGAAACGAGAATTTTTGAGACAGATTTGCATTTCTTATTTCTCCATGTGAAAACTGAAAATGCACACTTGCTATGATCCTTCTTTCTAACAGCAGTATACTAGGCCATACCATGATTCCTACCAGCTCTCGGGAAGTGTCTCACCATTGCAGAGCATCTTCTGAAGCAAGCCAACACTCATTGTTGTTGAACACATCCAGCTGAGCCACCTTTCTACACTACTCTCTAGGCTATTAGTACCTAACCCAGAGTTGTCTTGGCAGAGTTCTTTTTCCTAGTCACCTTATGTTTTCCCTAGTCCCATGGGTAGCTGCTAACTCATTTTAAATTCATCACCTTTTTTATCGTTTGTATCTGAAGGGTTTGCCAAATCTGGAGAACAGTACCATACTAATTCCTCTTTGAGAAAACCCTAAAGCTAGCTTTTCTGTTGTGCTAGGTAATCATCACTGACTTTGATGAAAGCGCTCACTTCAAGCGTAAAATCTGATTCTGATTCAGCACCTTGTTAGGAATTTTTCAGGTTTTTAGGTAGCATGCTCTGGGCATATATTAGATATCAAGTAAATATAATGAACAGAAGCAGTTTTCATTTACAGATTTCTCTAAAGATGCACCCATCAGCAGTTGTAACTCATTAACTAACTGACGTAATAGCTGAAGAATGTTGGTCTTCACTGAGTATCATTAAGCATTTTTATCCAAACTTACAAATAAGAAAACTAGGACTTAGAAATAAGATTCAGGGTTGCTCATTTGACATAAATGGCAGAATACAGACCGAAATGCAGGTCTTTTGATTCCTTCCAAGCTATACCATACCCTTATATTACCAACAGAAATAACTAACTTGTGGAATTTTTCTTAAATGTTAAAGAACAGAGACCATTTTTTAAAAACACTTCCACTTCTACAGTGGAACATCTCAGTTGAAACTAATGAAGTTAAACTGTTTTGTTCTGTTCTCCTTACAAATGGGTCATCTTCTGCTTAGGTCTGCTTAGAAGTGAAAACTGCTGCTAACATGCTGGAGAAGACACACCTTTACAGGCAGACAAAAACTGAAACTGATTCCTCTACAGTGCTAACTAGGTCTGGGCACACAGTAGATGTCTCATAAATACCTACTGATCTCATTTGAATAAATACAGTAAAATACATTTAAAAAGGAATTAACTAGGATTAGTAACACAGGGAATAGTATTCAACTAGTATTTAAGTATTAAGCTAAGTATTTGACCAGCCATATAGATGAACTTATCTCCTCTGAGTTTGTGGTTTCAGTAGATGGTTCAATTTTATGTGCTTCAAAAATGAACTGTATTTATGAATTTCAATGTATTCCAAAGATTCTAAACTACTAAGCTGCCAGTTTTGTATTCTTAATCATTTACCAGTATTGGAGAGCATAATATTATATAATATTGTGAATTACAGTACAGTAGATTCCAGGTTAAGGGTCACTTAGTTGAATTAAAACAGGATCACTACTGCTATTAAAGCTGCACATGTTAGATCATTAGTTCTCAATTTTACACACTTAGCTTATAAGTAACTAAACGCTATCACTGCTGTCTTCTTACTTAAGCTGTGATATACTGCTTATAGATGAGACTACCTATTACTATAGAGCCCAGATCCCAGCAGTAATCACACTTCAAAGTCCTGCCATTTCTATGAGATAAAAGGACACATCACAGTTGGGGAACTATAGAAGAGGTTTCACTAGAAAAGTCACTGGCTGTGTGGCTGAAATTTTTCAACTCAGAAAAAGATATATGGATTCTTTATTAGAGACTTGCTAAAAGTTTTGTAATTTAGCCAGTTATGGGTTTTAAATGATCAAAAATGAATTCACAGTACTGTTATTTAAAAATTTGAAATAGTGGCAACTCAAAATTAGTGTTTTATTAGCCTAAAGACACAGGGTGGATACTGGCCACAATTTTAATTCATAAAAATAGTTTTAATTTTTATGATCAAAAAATAGTTAAAATACTTAAGAGTTGTAAAAAAAATTCCAACCCATTATAATTGGAAAAAGAAATCATCCTTTTTATTTCTTACCCCAAATAAAAAATGTGTGCCCTAACAATAAAACAGAAAACAAAGACATTACAGTGATATACTGTGAGAAGGCGAGGGACCAGTCAATCCAGAGTTTGATATCTTGAGAACAACTTCACCTGGACTGCATTCTCCTCTCTACTAGTTATGGCATAGTGCAGGCAGGGGCTAGGGAGGCTCCTACAGATACTAACAATTTCATAAAAATCCTTCCTGACGCCCAAAATAAGAGCGAAACTTTTGTCCAGACAATCTGGAACAAAAAGATCAACTCATAACTTCTTTATCCCATGAAATATTGTAAAAGACAGAGTAAGAAATATTTCTCTTTGGAAATATATGCTTTGAATGCAACTATGAAAGATAATGGTAGATAATTCTTTCCTTACAACTTAATGCTTAGTGCAGAAGGAAAAGTCTAGCTACCTTGCTGAGTGAAAAAGACAAATCCATTATACAGCCATACTTCTCCATAAAAATAAATCTCACATTATTTGCCTATATTGTCTTTATAGGAATTTGTAAAATATGATACTATCAGACCCCCAGTATTAATTTATCTTTATACCATGAGGGAAAATAGGGAGACTAAAAACTATTACAAGCAACTGAAAACTTGCACTTAGTAAAAGTTGTACATAAAAGAGATAAATGATTATTTTAACTAAAATTCAACCAGACACTTAAACCTCCATATGCTACTAGCCAAGACAGATGGAAGAAACTGCAAAAAGCACCCATTTTACTCCAAATTTGTATTGAAATAATTCTTTAGAAAATTAAAAAGTAAAACACACACACACACACACCCCATTCCAACATGCTTGCTTCTATACAACTTAATATAGTATAATCTTACTGTATTACGGCTTTTATGCAGATTTGAACATCCTAAATCAAATTGTATTTCTAAAAAATTATGTCTAGTTAATAAAAGCATGGGAAGATATAACCTGTGTTAGATGTTGGCTCTTCCAAAACCAGCAGTATGAAGAAGGCCCTCTGTAATTATAAAGGTTTTTGGAAAAACTACAAACATGACATTTTAACCAAACTTATACTTTCCCCATAGGAAAAAGATATTAAAGCTGTTCTCTTTGGGACCCAGATATCATCAGGAGAAATGAAAAAGGAAACAAGCCTGTTTCTTTACATGTAGAAGAAAACCACAATGTCAAAAGAAACGAGAAATGAGGACTCTTTTATGTGGTTCTTAAACATTGGCTATAAAGGTGTTTCCCTGCAAAGAGAAGAGTCTTGGGTCATCTCAATATGTTGCGGGGGAGGGTGCAGTGGGAAGGTGGGGGGGGGTGTGTGTAAGGGAATCAACCTGGATAACAGTATGCACCTTGGATGTTAGCAAAAGCGAAGCTAATAGCTTATAAAAAACACATGAAATATATAAAATAAAATGATTTCATATACATCTTAATTTAAAATAATTAATGCATCAAATCCCTGTTTAAGACTTTAACCTGAATATCAAATTTAAGAGTCCAGACTAGCTACTGTTACTGTGGCTCTTCCCACACGTAACACACACACTATCAAAAATAATTTAAAAACCTTCACATTCTTAAATCTAAATTAGTGAGATATTTCTCCAGAAATCTTCCAAATAAATAGCTTTAAAAAAGAAAGAATTTAAAAGCTGTTAACTTTAAAAAAAAATCTGTTAAATAAATTATTGATAATTCTTTATCCTACTACTGAAAATAAATCAAGACACTAACAACAACAAACTTAAATTCAAGCCCTGACAAGAGACCCCTTTCCAGTTCAAGGCCTCTTTTTAAGGTTCTACCCTCCTTCTTCCTCTCCCGACCAGGTCCAAAGGGTTATTGCTGAGTGGGTGTGGCACAGTGAAGATGCAGCATCAGGTCCATTCTGTTCTTCAGGCAGTATTCTTACTGTACACACAAGCTGCTCCAGGCAGGGGATGGTGGACGGTGGAAACGCCAGGCTTCCACATCCCAAGACTGGCCTCCAGAAGGAAGAGTGACTGCAAGAGCAGCTTTGTCACACAAAGAAACGTGCATGGCCATTTCTGTTCAATTTAAGGATTTTCCCAAGACGTTGTTTGGCTGTTGCCATTCCTTTTTTTGGACGTTTACCTATAAAACACCAACAACAATGTTAATACTCTCAAAAAGTATGTTTGGCATATAATACCTGGAAGACTTAAAAGGGAGGGCTTCACAGAAGTTTGTTGCGTGTTCCAAAAGTAGTCACATCTCTGGACTTCATATCTTAAAAATCTTTCCATGCTGGATGGTGGTGGTGTACACCTTTCTTGGGAGGCAGAGGCCAGTGGACTCTGTGAGTTCAAAGAAACCCTATCTCGCAAAAAAATCAAAAAAACAAACAAAACCTTCCACATTATCACACAAAATAGAAAGGCATTGTCCTCCTAAACTATGCTTCAGCAACAAAGTACACTACAACTTAATGCATTCCCCAGGAATCACTGCTCTTCTGTGCCTCAGGTCATGCTCTCTTCTGTTTCCATTGCTATTTCTTCTGTCACTTGTCTCTTAACTCAGCCTAGTAAACCCATTCTTTTTAAGGCCCTACTTCCTCCTGAGCCTCAGAAAGCCACTGCTGTCCCCTAAGATTGGCTTAAGTATCCTCTCATTGTTACTATAGTAGCTCATGCCCACTGCTATTATGCTACTGTTCATAATGGAAGAGATGATGAGTATACAGCAGCAATTCTCAACCCTTGGGTCACAACCCCTTTGGGAGTCAAACGGCCCTTTCACCTTTATACACAGTCACAAAGATACCTAACCTGCTAATGTACAAAAGTTACCTTTTGTTGCCTGGTTGCTGATAGGTGGTGGGTTTGATGCAGGTCTCTTGGTGGGGTGAAGGGGCACTGAAAAAGAAGTTTCACCAATAGGCCTTTCTGGACTTAGACTGCCATTAGCTATTTGGCATGGCCCTGAAACCAAGCTGGGATTCAGCATGTACTTTCCATTTTGAATGCTTGAGTTACTGCTGTCCACACAATGCCTGCTTTGTGCCTTCTGACTGATTTCTGAAGAGATTTCCTTTTTGATGTATTTCTGGCTTCTACTTAAGTCCTAAAGAAGGAAAGAAAGGAATGTAGTTACATTTTTCAAGTTTCAGATAAATGAGGTATTTTGCTCTTTGCATTACCAAGATCAACAAAGATGAGGAAATGAACTACTCAATTTTGCTTTTTTTTCCCTTCTATATTATGTTTCATAGATATAAAGAGTGTGAGTGTGTGTGCACACATGTGCAATGCCTGTCCATACATCAGGATGCTTGTGTGGGGGCCAGAGGACAACTTGTGGGAATTGTTTCTCTCCTTCCATCATTGTGGGTACCAGGTATCAAGGTCAGGCCATCAGTCTCAGTGGCAAGTGCTCTTAATCAGTGCTTGACAGTACCTACCCTTCATGATGGTCAGTTCAGTCCATAAGAGACTTAAAGGTTTGGAAGATTAGTTCTTACTTATTACTTGAGTTTTGAAGTTCATTAGGTCAAGATCAAACAAGAAGTTCTGCCTTCTATCCCAGAATTGGGAGGAAAACTGAAACAGAAGCAATGAACCCACAGTTTCCTTGGCTCATCATGGTTCTCAATGCAATGTGCTATCTTTTAGAGTTCTCTTTCCACCATGTAGGTCCCAGGAATACACAAGTCATTAGGCCTAGTAGCAGGCACCTTGAGCAGCTGAACCTTCTTGCTGGCTTCCATTATTACCCCTTTTCAAACACAGCTAGTATAGGTTCATCTCTACTATCTTTGTTTGCTAGAAAAATTCCAATATCCAGGCCTAAGCCTGATTTTTCTTTTTACTAGAAGTACTCTTTGAGTCTCTTAAAATAATTAGGTCAAGGGCTAGAGAGATGGCTCAGTGGTTAAGAGCATTGCTTGCTCTTCCAAAGGTCCTGAGTTCAATTCCCAGCAACCACATGGTGGCTCACAACCATCTGTAAAGAGGTCTGGCGCCTTCTTCTGGCCTGCAGGCATACAGACAGAATATTGTATAAATAATAAATAAATAAATTTAAAAAAATAAATAAAATAATTAGGTCAATTTGTAAGGATTTCCTTAAGTCCTGAAATAAACTGAGGTAATGAGTGACATCAAAAGAGAAAGGAACTGAATAGACACATGAAGTTTTATACAGAAAGCAAAAACAATATTGAACATCCTAAATCTCTTCTTTCTATTTCCATTTGAAAAGTACCTGAGGATTAAATCTGGAAGTCCTGTCAAACTGTTTCGCCCAGGAAGAAGTCCTCAGATCTTGATCTGCAGTCTTGTCATGGTAGCCTAGAAAGTAGTTTGGATTAAGTTATCTTTGCACAAACTTATCTTAACACTAACCCAGTACTCACAACTGAAAGCAAATGTATGCTGACATTTCATTTATATATTAACTATTTATTCACATACCTTTTCTTTTACTAGACTTCTTAAAACAAACAAAAATCCCACAGTTAGCAACTCTCAACCAAACTTGCTATTTCTTTCAATTTTCTTCAAACTGTCTTTATATGACAGGCTTTGTGCTAGATGCTAGAAGACCTACAGTCAAGCACTATGGCCATATATTGTTGATGTGATGCAAACCAAATGCAATACACGTCTCTAAAATGACATATTTTCCATCAGGACAAAGGTATATATTTTCCTGTATTAAGGGACCAAACAGATTATAGGAAGGCAAAATGGAGGAGAGAATGGCAGGCAAACACAGATTTAAATTTGAGTTCTTCCAAATACCAATGCAACTTTAGACAAGCTATTAAAGCATTCCAAAGTTCAGTTTGCTCTTATACACTATGCAAAGATTTGGGGATCAAGTGATCCTGGATTCAAATTCCAACAGATTTGAATAATACCTGTGTGAAGTGTGTAAAATTAAATTAACCTTATCAAATCATATTTCCTTTTCATATAAAATGGAGGTCAAGGTCCTGGTGCATAGATGACCCTATTTATTTGGGACTGAACACAATTGCTACATGTCCTTTTCTCAATCCTAAGATTTTGGGGAAATGATGTTTTTCTCTCTGAAAGCACAGGGGAGAAACACTAGGTGGCATTACTGACACGCTGTTTCTGTTACTTCCTTTTCAGAGAGTTTGAGAAAGCAGTCTCAGCCAGAAAGAAACTATGCAAAACTCATTTCTCCTCTCCTAAAAGGAAAATGGACTGATTCTGCAGACCAATTAGAACATTTCCACTCTGGGAGCTCTTACAGTTGGTGACAGGAAAACAAGACTATCTTTGCAAGACGACAGAAGTACGCCGGTGGACACAATTTTCAGCCCCGTGTCGTTTACATTTTTAGTTTTAACATTTGAATTACATTTTAATTAATTGTTGTGTGGAGGTCAGGCAACAACTTGTAGGAACTGTTTCTCTCTTTCGACTATGTGTCCTGGGGATTGGCAGCAAGCCCACTGAGGCACCTTGCTGACCCACATTTTGAGTGCTTATGCTTGCATCTTACATGACTATATAAAAAAGCATTTCTTAATGGTAAACAGCCCTTATTCATATAATCTCTAACCTCAACTAGGATCACAGCACTATTAAACTGGGAGTCATATATTACTTTTTAGAGACTGATATTTGTGTTTCTTACCAAATTCTACCGGTTTATCACAGCGATACAGCTGCCTAAGCTCAGGGTTACTGCTGTGGCAGCTGCTGGGATCCTGGAGAGAGTTCTTTTCAACGCTGCAGTCTGTGCTTTGTATCTGCCTCTGTAGACACGTGGAGTAGTGCAACCCTGCCATAGACAGCATGCCCTGAATAGCTTCTTCCTCTGTGCTCGTCGAGGTAGGACATTCCCTAAGGAGCAGGTGACCCAAAACATAACAGTGTATTTCTTTTGATTAAATATTCAGTAAAACATAAAACTAAAGGTGTTTTCACAGCATTTACATCACAATACAAAACAATTACTACCATCCACAAGCCTACCTTTTAAATGGAATTTCATTTCTGGATGGCTTCTGGCCCTTTTGAAGGAGGTTCCTCACTATATTGGATTCCTCCTTAAAGTTTGATGTTATTTCATGTTTCTTTTCATCACCTGAACTTTCAGAATCTTCAGTGGCAAAATTAATTTTCTGAAATAATAAATCATTAAATGGAAACAAAGCTAAAAAGAAACTGACCAAGACTGTACAAACTAATTGAAATTTATGTTTAGAAGTTAGAATATGAATTATAAAATTACTTCTTTGTTTCACATCAAAACCTAAAACTTTCTAGTAACTTTAGTAACCTACTAACGGAATACAAAATACACAGTTACACATTATAAGGTAAAATAAAATATAACCTGTGAGAACATAAACCACACAAGAGCTCAGTGTAAGCAGATAAATCTCTTTCTCCACCCTTACCAGAACCCAACAAAAATTGCTTATGAATGTGACCAGGCACATGATGGTGTATACACACAGTAACACTATGGGAGACTATGTGCTGCACAGCCCAGAGATAAGCTTTGGGAAATCTGTTATCAAGCTTCTTCCACATGGGTGTTCAACATCCCACCAAATGACACATAAAGCTTGGGGTTCTGAGCATACCAGTGCAGTACAATCAGGTCCAGAGTCTTCTGAATCAGAAACATCAGAATATTCTGATGTTCTATTCCTGAGTTCTGATTTCACACTTGTAAAAATTCCTGAAGAAGAATTTGTAAAGAAAAGAAAGGACAAGAATCAGTCATTCAAACTTTGGGGCAAGGAGAAAAGATGATCTCTAAAGTCCACCCAGTTTCCAGATGTCTTTCCATCTCCCACAGTGTCTCCCCTTTCTCACTGCTTTTCCTTTCTAACTGACCAAGATATACACTGATTGAAGTATATCCTTAAAATATCTGTGATATTTCTTTCCAGGAAAAATAAAACAAAGCTCTAAAACTAAAATGAACTACAAGCTGCTTCTGACTTTCCCTTCGTTTTCTTTAGAGAACAAAATGGCAACTCTCAAAGCTCACTGCATTCACGGACTGTGGGTTCAAGTAGTTTATAATCTGGGCCTTTCTCTTCCACAAGTACTGCTGCATAGCAACTGTCCCATCAGTTCTCAGTGATACACTGTCTTGCCCTGACATGTGAACAAAGACAGTTACCAACCACAGAGGACCAGACTTACTGGGAACTAGTGGAAACAGATATTCAAAATGAATTCAATAGTATTTATTATGCAGAACACTCGTCAAAAAATACTGTTTTTAATTACTTTTTAAACGAAAAGGTATATGCTGTTCTTGAAAACTGTCTGGGAATTAAGATTTACTCAAAGAAAAACTTCAAGGAGAAGATGATATTACTACAGTGTCTGATATTCCTATTATCACTTCACTTGATGATAACCAATTAACATACCAGTAGGAGCTGCCTGTCAACAGTCAATCAAATAGCACCACACTACTTGGATTCCCACTAGCTGCAGATCACCCAACCAGATGTCTCTTAATTATGAGAACCAAAGACATGTTAGCAAAAGCCATATGTGAAATGAAGTTAAACTTGAAACTCACTTTGGGGAGTAGAAGCCATAAAGTATATGAGCTTTTTAAAGACAAGGAAGCTATCTGGGTCTTGCTGACCATCACATACTCCTTCACTGGTAATCTGCCCCTGGCTACCACACCTTATTTGGCATTCATATTCAGCACTTTGATGATCGATGACCTATTTAAAAATACTTCAGATTTTCCAACAGTGTTATAAATGCAAATGTTTTCAATCCTACAACAATTCAAACACCAGTGAGTTGCCCATTATCACATTAGTGGAAGAATGAAAAACATACTGTTTAGTGGTTTTGGAGATCCTTCACTTTCTGCCCCCTCTCTTCCTGAGCTCTCTGTCTTTATGTTTGCCTTCTTTGTTGGTCTCTTGTCTTCTTCATTTTCACTATCTGCTGTATAAAGACTCCGATCTGCAAACAGCTGTCTCTCATCTCTATACCATAGAAGGAAAAATTGGATCAGAAATAGCATAAGGCTCTGTGTTCCCTTCCCCTCCATTCATTCAGACACAGTAGAGAATTGAGACCCTTTCACCTAATACAATTGGCTGTCCAATAATGTAGAGTGATTAAGTGAGATTCACTAAAAATTAATCTGGTAGTTTGATCTACTTTACGTACTTAATTATTCTTCCATTTGTAAGCAGTAATCGTAGATCATTCTCTTTTGCTCTCCATTCAGGTACTGTAGAAGATGGCTGGAGATGTTTGTTGAATTTTCCATTCAGTATGTCCTTAAAAGTACAAAGCACAACTGATTTACTATCCACCTTCAGAAAGTCCTGACCAACTGAAAAGACTGCATACTGCTCCTCCTTCCATGGTCTTGCCTTGTAAAGGGATGGGCAGCCGTCTAGATTTGGAGAGATCTCAATGACCCAGAATCTAGAGTTCCTCATTCCAACACATACAAATTGCTTATCTTTCAGTAGAGCCATTAGCAATAAAATAATTTTCTAATATAAGATGTAAAATCTGCATACAGAAAATCCAAACACAGGCCTTTCTTACTGGAGTCAAATGGCTTTAGGCCAAGTATCACTTTTTTCTTGATGAAGCCCAGCTGTGGGGCTCTCTCACTTACCCTAACCTGGACTGTCTACTTCCAAGGCACAAGAGCCATCATTTATTAAAAGACATGATAGGAGCTGTTTTCTTTTTAACATATAAAAGCTTCTCTTTGAAGCCGGGCGGTGGTGGCGCACGCCTTTAATCCCAGCACTTGGGAGGCAGAGGCAGGCGGATCTCTGTGAGTTCGAGACCAGCCTGGTCTACAAGAGCTAGTTCCAGGACAGGCTCCAAAACCACAGAGAAACCCTGACTCGAAAAAACCAAAAAAAAAAAAAAGCTTCTCTTTGAGATCTTCTCCTTATTAATAGAACTTATTATAAGCTTTTCAAAATAACTATGGGTTAAGTAGGTTCAGTATCTCAAAACAGCATAATAGTATCAAATATAAGAACATATAAAATTATAATGACTATGTAGCTTCTTTTAGTATTTTAAAGTCAGCAATAGCTGTATCTTACTTTATATTACCTATGTCAATCCTTAAGCTATAAAATTAAGGGTGATGCAGATTTTATCACAAACTCGGTAGCATGATTTATTGAGGTGCCACTACCCCACACTCTTCCTGATTCTGTCCAGTACACCAGGACTTCAACTTAAATAGATTTATTCTTTGTTTTTTTTTTATTGCACTATATATTTTTCTCTGCTCCCCTCCCTCCCCCCTCCCCTTCTACCCTTTCCTGTGACCCCCCATGCCAATTTTGATAGTTGGACTGGTTCTATCGGTTCTGTGTTTGTCCAACTTACTGTACTGCCTGGCAATACTAATTCAAAGCTGTGTTTTCATTTGATTTCTCTCTCTTTTTTTTTTCTTTTTTTGAGACAGGGTTTCTCTGTAGCTTTGGAGCCTGACCTGGAACTAGCTCTTGTAGACCAGGCTGGCCTCGAACTTGAGTGCTGGGATTAAAAGCGTGCGCCACCACTGCCAGGCCTTCATTTGACTTCTTTTGTTAGTTAAGTATAAATTCAAACATCAACACCTGTAAGGCACTAAGCAAAGTAGCCAGCCTCTACTTCCTTGCTACCCTTGTTCTGGGTCCCCTCAAAATACTTAGCATTGGAAACATGTATTTCGTTGCTGCAGTTTGTTTGAGAAAGGGTTTCACTGCGTAGCCTTAACTTGCAGTAAACCCCTTGCCTCAGACTCCCAAATGCTAGGATTATAGGAATGGGCCATCATGCTCAGCCTTAAATTATATCATTTTAATCTATGTCTCCGTCTTCCAACTTAAATTTTGATAAAACCTACATGGGGGTAGAGACTCAAGTTTGTTTGCTCTGGCATCTTTTTCAGAAACCAGAAAAATAAGATATTTGGATAAATACTTTTTAATTTTATTTATTGAATAATGAACATGTCAGCAAATGAATGAACTCTAGGTATCTTAACACCACACCACTGACTAGAAAAACGAGATTCATGGCCTCCCACAGACAAATATTATCCTCTATAAATGCACAGTAGAAACTAGCCGAATTGCTGTATGTACTATCCAAACACTTTTTGGATCCTGATATATACTTGCCTCCTCCCACGGACACATCTCTAATCTTCTGAGGACTTCCCTTGTATGGAGCTCAAGGATATCTAGGTTAGAAGGAGTTCTGACATGATGATCTCGAAGTTTCCTCATCTTTCGCCGGGAATGATATGGTGAAGATGCTTCATTTGAAGGCCGTGAAACTGGACACACAGTAGGAATTCCCTGAGATTTAATTGGTTTGCCATTTTCTTCCTATAAAAATCAAATTCAGAGTATGTTTTATGGCAAGGCTCCTGTACATATACCTAACTAAGCAATTAACCATAAAAATACTTTAACAAACAAACACATCCTATTCAATCATTTAAGAGGAAGTTAAATCAAGTCCTCAGCTTTCCTGAGCTTTTTATTCCCTTCTCCTTCATATACTTTGTGAACAATGCATTTCCTTATTTTATCTGAAGAAGATTTTGGGTGAGGGGAGCTGATTCAGCTTCCCAAGTGCTAAGATTACAAGCATGTACCACCACACCAAACTTTCATCTTAAATTTGTAATATTAAATTGGAGTTGACATTTTCAGAAATGATACTTGTGTTACTAAACTATCAATTTGGTTTTACTGTGCATGAAACACATATATGCACATATATGTCACAGATAATAGGTCATATATTTTATATATATTTGATAAGACTTTTGATAGAAAACTCATTTACATGCCATTACTATCACTCTTTAATAAATTTTTGCTACATCTGAAAATACATGAAATAGTCTATCCATTGACAGTAAACCCAACATAGTGATCTTCCTTAGAGGTTTAGAGATTTTAGTTCAGTAGTAGAGGGAACTTGCCTAACAAGCACAAGGCCCTGGTTCAGTCCCCGGTACCAAGAACAAAAAGACATGATTGATATTTGTTAGATGTATACTACTTTCCATTCTTGACATCCTGGTTGTGCACCTAGCCTGTTACTGCTGAATCATGTCTCCAGCTCCTCTTCCTTTCTACAGTCCTAATGTAAGATTAGGACTTATGTAAATTAATAAGTGTAAACGTAAATTACCTAATATAATCTACCAGGTGGCCTCCATTCCACCGGTAAATTTCCTCTTATTTCAAACTAAACACTAAACAAGCAAGTTAGTTTCCAGAAGAACTATTTTAATGAAAACCCCCGTTTTTCTATACTGACATCAGCTCTTAAAAATGAAAACATTTCACTTCATATATGGGCTTTTATCAAAGGCACTGACTTCTCAAATTGCTCCAGTATTTTTGGTCAAAGGAGTCCCTGATATTCTTTTGAACCCAGCTTCACTCCCCTTACTGTTTTATCCGTTCCTCTAACTACTTCACTTACATTCATCTCCAGGTAAACATCATACTGTGACTTTTGCTTTAATTTTTGGAGAAACTTAGGGGATTTACAGTAACTGGAACTATTGCTTTGCTATTTTATTATGCAACACTTTATATTTTTCTGTAAGACATTAGAAGCCTATAATCTGTAACGCTAACTCAGCTCACTGTATTCTTTCACCAGTGTGAAAGTGCTTTCAATATTTACAGCATGGTGACAGATCCATGTGCTTCTCAAGGCAGATAGCAAGCAAACATATTTAATGATAACTTCTTACCTCTATTGCTCGAATTACTTTAGAAAGTTCCTTAATAAGATGTCCAGGTCTAACATTGTCTGGAATTTCAAAGGCATGTTCAGATACAAGCTGTATTTGGAGTAATAAAGATAAGAAAACCAAAGTCACTTAAAATTTAAAGCCCAACTTATTTCATAAAGTTCTCTATATTTTAAAGACCTGTTGATAATGTTAAGCCATTCTCAAAGAGTTTATGTACTTGGTAGATGGTCACCTAAGAAGATCCACATATCAAATAAAATCCTCTTATTTGTCTCACAGTGAATCTTATTTTATAATGCATTCTACACCACAAATTCCACTGTGATCCTAAGTACAACTATCAATAAAGAAATTAAGCCTAACATTTAATTCAAAATGCATAAGGATTTTTGTAGGGACCATTGGCATTAAGTAATCCCTGTTTTTCATGGAAAGTATACTTTGAATAAATTTGAGTTAAAAGTTTAATAGTCAAAAGCAAATGAAAAAAATACCATTAACAGGAACAAGAAATAAATTAGTAAGTGAGCATATCTACTAACTACAAACTAGTACCATTATTTTTTTTCAAAGATTTTATTTTTTTATTATGTATACATGTTCTGCCTGCATGTATGGCTGACAGCCAGAAGAGGGCGCCAGACCCCCATTACAGATGGTTGTGAGCCACCATGTGGTTGCTGGGAATTGAACTCAGGACCTCTGGAAGAGCAGTCGGTGCTCTTAACCACTGAGCCATCTCTCCAGCCCGACCATTAGTTTTATGTCTATTTACAAATTATTTCTCTCCGTATCTAAGGACATTTGATTTTTAGACACAAACTAGTTTCATTTTTGCTTTATTACTGAATTGTTTTAAGTATAACTTGCAGAAATTAGTTAGCAACAATAACGTGCAATAGTGTTAATTCTGTATTCTGATACTGTTAAGTGCACTTGGTAAGCACGAACTCATCCTCATTATAAGGGTGACATGGATACTTCAAGCTGGATATTCCTCATCTGAGATACTTAGGATTAGTCATGTTTTAGATTTGGGGGCACTTCAGATTTCAGATTGGAGATGCTCAACCTTTTACAGGTTATGATGAGTATTGCCATCATAACTGAGACACTGACCTTATGTAATATATCCACAATGAAACAGCTTACTACTAGCAGAGATGAGATTTGATTCTGAATATCTGACTCCAGAACCCAAAATTTTAACCAGTATACTGAACTGCCTCTTATCTTTGAACAAAATTACTAAAAATGTAGAAATGTTTTGAAACACACTTTACTTACAATGCCTAATAATACTTGTAATAAAAACTAACTATGTACAGAAATCATGTAAGATGTTTTTAGGATCAATTCTACTCTAGGGCTATTAAAACCAAAATCCCAAGCAAAATACAGGGATTTTATTTTCAAAATGTTCTCAAGGCAATGCTAACACACATCTGAAGCACCCATCCAAAGCCTCTACCAGGAGACAAAGGGACAAAGGCACACAATTTCTACAGTTTACATTCAATCATGCTACACAGCTGTTAACTTGCTTATGCTTTTCCTCCTCACACACATGATAAAATCTGAGAGTGGAAGGCATGTTTTTAACTTTCCTTTATGTTTCTATGGCACCTTGCCCTAATGGATTTGTAGCACTAATCTTTTTTTTTTAAAGTATTCTTTTTTTTTAAAGATTTATTTATTTATTATGTACACAACATTCCTTCCATGTATGCTTGCATGCCAAAAGAGGGCACCAGATCTCACCATAGATGGCCGCGAGCCACCATGTGGTTGCTGGGAATTGAACTCAGGACCTCTGGAAGAGCAGTCAGTGCTCTTAACCTCTGAGCCATCTCTCCAGCCCTTGTAGCACTAATCTTAAATTAAAATCCTAAAATGAAATTTCCTGGAGTATAGGCTAGTATTTATTGTTTCCCATATTTCCTTTTAAAAATTTATAATAATAATAACATTATTATTATTATTATTATTATTATTATTATTATTGAGAGAGAGAGAGACAGACAGACAGACAGACAGACACAGACAGGCACATGAACTTTGTGGAGTTTCCTTTGACCTTTACATTGGTCCCCTGTTCTCAGGCTTACACAGAAGGTGCTTTATAGACATTAAGTTTCTCATTGGCTCTCCTCATTTCCCTTAACAGCAAGAATTTTATTTTAAATGGATAGCAAGCAAATCTGGAAATCATCAGCACATATATTTATCAATCATATTATTTAAGATCATGTGTGAAGCTCCATAGAGTTGAAATAAGAGTTCAAAAGCTTAGTGAAGAAAACATACATACATTATACACATTAGTTTTAAGCCTAAGTACGTAAGAACATGCTACAGAAGCAGAAGGGAAGTAAAAGTAAACACTTAACTCCAAATGCAGATTTGGATGAACTCTCAGAAAAAGCCTGGGATAACTGAAAACTATTCTTGCCCCTTCCTTTCTTTCAGTTTTTTTAAAACCTACTAGTGGCAAAGAGCAGGACTTTTTATCCTAGCCTCACAAGTTCTTACTGTGCAACAATCCTTTTCTACACTATGGATATGAATATGTCCGCTAATAAAAAACTGACAGGTCAGTAATTGGGTAGGAAGTTAGGCAGAAAAGTCAAACTGAGAAAGATGGGAAGAAGAAGGGCAGTCAGGAGAGACGCCAGCTAGCCGCTGAGCAAGCAGGACATGTAAAAATGAGGTAACAAACCATGATAACCCTAACCATGAGTCACGTGGCAAAGCACAGATAGAAATATGGGGTAACTTTAAATGTAACAGTTAGCCTGAGCTATCAGCCAAACATTTATGATTCATATTCAGCCTCTGAGTCAGTTATTTGGGACTGGGTAGTCAGGACAGGAAACGAAAGTTACTTAAATGGGGACAGCGCAGCACCCAGACCCCACACAGCAACTCTACAAGACTAAACGAGGCCACACATGTAAAGACAAAGCACAGTGCTTGACATGCTAAGAGCTCAACATGGCTTGTTACTCTATCAGCCTGCTTGTTTCTTAGAATCATAAATATACTTGCATTTTGCTTTTTCAAAAATAAAGAAAACCAAAGCTCTTTATTCTCTAACCAGAATCAATACATCTGTGTATAGTATGACAGAGAGTACAAACTGTATATAAAATAATAATTTCATTCCTTTTACAACTAGCATGTGAATGCTGCCCACAATAAAAGGACCATTTGCATGACTTGCCACAAAAAAAAAAAACCCAACAAACAAACAAACAAACCCAGCAAAAACAACTTACTTCTTTTTTCATCCATACTTTTAAAGCAGTATGCAGTGCTTTCACTCCCTGTACTAAGTAGGTTTGAGGCTGGAACCCATCTTCTTTCAGTTCTGTTGTTTAAAATAAAACAGTATGAAAACGATGTTAAGTTTTGAAAATAAATGAGATAGCTGTAGTAATATGTCATCATTAATAAAGCATCATTTCAACACGTTCAAAAACTCAATTCACTAGGAAAACATTTAAAATTTCAAGCCTGAAATATAAAAAAAAAGAAAAAACAACAAAATACAATAAACAATTTCACAATTACAGTGGGATATTTCTAACAAAAATAGTAAACATAGAGTAGACTGAAAAAATAGGTAGACAGATAATTCAATTCAAGCAATATAAAATTTGGTTCAATAGTCATAAATAGGATACTGCACCTAGAAATTGCAAAGTGCACATTTTTTTCAGACATACTCATTACATTTACAAAAATCATCTGCACTGCAGGGACCATAACGAGGCCTCAACAAATCCCAATGATCTTAATCACTTAGATGCTCAAAAGCGCAATTAAGCTAGAAATCAACACAATAGATAACAGCAACAGGTAACAAATGATTAGGAATTTTAAATTACAGGCACTAAGAAACATATAAACTAAAAGATTTTTTTTTTTTTGGTTTTTCGAGACTTTTTAAAAATCGTTGGGGCCAGAGAGATAGCCTAGCAGTTAAGCGCACTTGTTACTCTTACAGGACTGGGGTTCAATTCTCAGTACCACATCAGATGACTCAGAACTACCTCTAACTCCAGCAACAAGGGATTTGATGCCCTTTTCTGGCTTCTGAAGACACATGTGTGCATATACACACATTCAGACATAAAGACACACATGTATGGCAGACCCACACCCTTCCCACACCAAAATAAGTAGATAAAACATAATTTTAAAGGCCATAGGATAGTATCAGTTTGAAATTATATGAAATTTACAAATAGAAAATATTACTGCCATTCAAAACATGGGTGATGAAACTAAAGAAAAGGATTATCGCAGAAGTGAAGACAGTAGTTAACTACAGAAGAGGAGGCAGATGGAACTTAATTATACTGTAGGGGTGGTACCAAGATTTTCTTGGATGAATGCCTATGATGATGGCCAACATATATACATCTATGTACCTAGTTTAAAGAAGGCTGTTACTCAGGTAATTGCTACTCAAGTTAAAAAAACAACTTAATTGATGCTTTGAAAAATGCCTGCTTAGCTGGACAGTGGTGGTGCATGCCTTTAAATCCCAGCACTTGGGAGACAGGGTCAGACAGATCTCTCTGAATTTAAGGACAGTATGGTTTATAGAGCTAATTCCAGGACAGTTACAGTGACACAGAGAAATCCTGCATCAAAAATCAAAACAATCAAACAAACAAAAAAAAATCCTGTTTCAGGACTGAGATTGTAGCTTAGTGGTAGAACATTTGCCTCGTACACAAGGTCCTGGGTTTGTCCCTACCACTACTATTAGGCTGAGCCATATGGAGTTGCCATTGCCAGTATTTGACCATATTGAAATATGGAAACAACTTTACATGACTCCACCATGGGAATAATATTATAAAATAGTATGCTATATTTATAAAAGCACTAAAATGCAAAGTACCTAGGAATAAATCTATCAAGATATGCAAGTGTAAAGTTTACAAAACTTCAAAAGACATTAAAGAAGACAAGACTCAGACGCTCCATGATCATTCTTCAGCAAACTCAGTGGTGACCAGGTGTGGTGATACATGCTTTTAATTCCAGCACTGGGAAGGCAGAGTCAAGCTAATCTCTTGAGTTTGAGCCAGCCTAGTCTACATAGTGAGTTCTGGGTCAGACTCACCCTGTCTAAAAAAGTAAGAAAAGGGAAAGGAAAAAAAAAAACCTCAATAATGAATGTCATAGACCTCAGTATTTCTGAACCTTTTTTTACATGAGGTGATAAAATACTAGTTATTTCTTTTTTTTTTTTAAATATTTATTTATTTATTATGTATACAATATTCTTTCTACGTGGATGCCTGCAGGCCAGAAGAGGGCACCAGACCTCATTACAGATGGTTGTGAGCCACCATGTGGTTGCCGGGAATTGAACTCAGGACCTTTGGAAGAGCAGGCAATGCTCTTAACCGCTGAGCCATCTCTCCAGCCCCCAATACTAGTTATTTCTAAGAGTAAATTGGTGCTACAATTTAATGAGCAACAATATTTCATATTTCAGATAAACTTCTATTTTGTTCTAAAAGGCTTCTTCTAGGCTTCTGAGTAGAAAGAAGTGTGGGGATGGGAGGAGACAGAAACAGAATGAATATGAAGTAGTAGAGCTTCATCTAGCTAACCAGATGATATAAACTTTATGTCCTTGAGTCAGAGTTAGAGAAAAGAGGCAAGAAAAAGAACTACCAACCAAATGTAGAACTTTAGATTTCTTAACTGGAGAGTTCAGGAATTAAATTTTATTTCTAAAACAAAGACACTTACAGCTACTTTTACAAGTGTATAATACATGTTCCTGCTGTTCTAGACTTGAACTTGGAGACTATGTTCAAGGGAAAAATCAACAACAACAACCTGGTCACTGAGAAATGGGCGCAATTCACAGCCATCCCTTTAGCCAAGAATAATACTCAATAAAGTCAGAGATTCACACTAAAGACTCACTTCTAGATCACAGGTTGTTCCTGTACGGTCTTCCTCATCTGAGGGACCCTAACCTATTATACACATACTCCTAAAACTGCCACAGCCTCTCTCCTGACACAAGGACTCACTGTTCTCACCTTTCCATTTGAAGTAAGGTGGTGTCTTTATAATGGTTTCATTCTTTTTCATCATTTTGTATGTGTGCAAGCTGAGAGGACAAACACAGAATTGGTTCCCTCCTTTCAACTCCTATGTGATTCAGTGTTCAAATTTAGGTGGTCAAGCTTAGAGCAAGCACCTTAACACTGAGCTATCTTGCTGCCCCCCCCCCCCTTTTAAACTTTGGAAGGAAATGACCCCAGACTTTTACTGCATGTGTGTGTGTGTACACATACACAATACTACAAATTACCTTTAGTTTGTTACTTTTTTCATTCCAACTTTTCTTCTTATATAACTTAAATATATAAAGAAATAAATGTCTAGATTTTAGACCACTGTACATCTATCTGAGAGTTAACTGTAACAATATTATCATTTGGGACTAGAGATGGTAAAACAGTTTAATAGCACTTGCTGTTGTTGCAGAGGACCCAGACTTATTTCCTATTACCCACAGGGAGGCTGTGGTGGTGTGAATGAAAGTGACTCCCATAGGCTGCTGATAGGGAGTGACACTATTAAGAGGTGTGGCCTTGTTGGAGGAAGTGTACCTTTGGGGGTGGACTTGAAGGTTTCAGAAGCAAGCCAGGCTCAGGGTCTCTCTCTTCCTAATACCTATAGATCCAGAACTTTCAGCTACCTTTCCAGCCCCATGTCTGTCTGTATGCCTTCATGCTTCCCACCATAACAATAATGGACTAAATCTCTAAACTGTAAGCCAGCCCCAATTTAATGTTTTTGTCCTCATAAGAGTTGCTGGTGGTCATGATGTCTCTTCACAGCAGTAGAAACCCTAAGATAGTGGCCCATAACTACCTGTAACTCCTGTAAGTTCTGAGCAATCTCATGTCCCCTTCTCTTACCAGGTGCACACATACATAGAGACAAACACTCATATACATAAAATTAAAAAAAAATATTTAAAGAGTATCACTACATAACCTCAGCTGGCCTAGGACTCATTATGTACACCAGGCTGACTTCAACTAAGAGGTGTCTGCCTACCTCTGCCTTGTGAGTACTGAGGTTAAAGGCATGTATCACCATGCCCATCCTACACCACTCTAAATTTTTAAGCAAGTATTTCAGAACAAGTGTTAGGTAGTAGTCTGTCTGTGACACAAGCTACATTTTTGAGAATAAGACAGTGTGTGTGTGTGTGTGTGTGTGTGTGTGTGTGTGCGCGCGCGCGCGCGCGTGCGCAAGCCATTCACTCTTATTAAATGAAATGACTGTTTTTCAGTATTTGGGTACCTGATTTCTAAGAATAAGGAGGGGATTGCTATAGACCAGATACTCTAACTCAGTGGTTCTAAACCTCAGGATCATGATTCCCTTTGGGGTCACATACTCGATATCTACCTTATGAGTCATAACAGCAAAATTACAGTTATGAAATAATTTTATGGTTGGGGGTCTCCACAGCATGAGGAACTAACTGTATTCAAGAGTCAAGTTGAGAACCACTGCTCTAACTGCTAAAAATATTCTTAGCAGGGGAAAGAAATACATACTTTTTTAAAGAGGGGAAGCCAGACTGGAGAGATGGCTCAAAAAGTTAAGAGCATCTACTGTTCTAGCAGAGGACCTGAGTTCCCAGCACTGTGCTCACATGGACAAATCCCAACATACATTCACATAATTAAAAATAAAATAATTTTAAAAGTGAGGGTGACAGCGCTGAAGAGATGGCTCAGAGGTTAAGAGCAATGGCTGCTCTTCCAGAGGTCCTGAGTTCAATTCCCAGCAACCACATGGTGGCTCACAACCATCTGTAATGAGATCTGGTGCCCTCTTCTGGTGTACAGGCGTACATGCAGTAAAACACTGTATACATAATAAATAAATAAATCTTTAAAAAAAAAAGTGAGGGTGAAATCTAGCAAAGGGTCCCTGAAGGAATTTGCAAACGCACATCTTATCACACAACAGAGTGTACAAATTACCTTTCAGGGTTTCCAGCAAACTTTTGGCTACAAACCAGCATATGGCTTCAAAGAAAGGGAATTTGAAAAGATCTGGTGTTTTTAGTCTTTTCTCCATCTCATAACACCTAAATGAATAAAATTTGAAGAACAGTTAATATTAATATTAGCATTTCGAAGTTAAATAAAGGTACTCAACTGAAAATAAACAGGCCATGATAAATATGTTTCCTTAACAACACTACCTTTTGATAACACTGAACTGTGATCTTATGCAAGTTCTGGTCCTGACCTTAATAAATTTGCTAGTCTACTTAACAATTACATTGGGTACTGTAAAAGAACACTTCTTGGGATTTGTATCCTAATTTTAACAAAAAAGGATCTTATGAGGGTTCCACTAATAAAATAGTAGATTTAAAGATCAGTTTCATATGTTGAACAACACTACCAACACCCATGAATGTTCTCTTTAGGCTCTACAGAGCATTCCAGATCAATACTTGACACCAGTCAAGGTATAAAGAGAGGGACCACAGTTTGCACAATATTGGTCTTCTGTCAGAGTCCTAACAACACATGTAGAAGAGGCCATCTCTTTTCCAGAAATAGCTAAGGTACAAAAAGATTAAAACTTATATCTGGCAGGCACACAACCTCCCATAGCCCTATGCTCTGTAAGAATCACCACCTCCTTTTCTATTATTATTATTATAATTATTATTATTATTATTTTGGATTTTTCAAGACAGGGTTTCTCCGTAGCTTTTGGTTTCTGTCCTGGAACTAGCTCTTGTAGACCAGGCTGGCCTCGAACTCACAGAGATCTGCCTGACCACCTCCTTTTCTAACTGCAAGGACGAAGCATCCAGGGCTCCCATGCACACGCAGAATTACAAAAGTCACTACATTTGGGGGAATACCAATGATACTCGGCCTCCCAAAAGGCATTTCCCTTTTCTCAGTCCTCATGCAGGGTCCATCAGGAAGCAGACCTGTGATGTGACTGACCCTAATCCTTTCTAGGTACAGTAAAGGAACAAAGCTGGCAAAGGCCAGATATCATCAAAAGGGAAAGAACTGCCCTACAACAAAATTCAAAAGCATTCTGATAGCAATCCTGACTCAAGGATTTTTCCAGCCCCAAAGGTTATACCTGAATCTAATTAATTTAACTCATATTCACGTTTACAGACTAAAAAAGGCATAAACATTTTATAAAATTTGGTATGCAGGAGGTATCATCAGATTGAACAAGTTATCTATTTTACCTTAGTTTTGAAAATATCCTCCAAATAATCTTTTAAAAATATTTTTTGTTAAAAAGTTCCCATTCCTAGCCAGGTAGTAGTAGCACACACCTTGAATCCCAGCTCTCAGGAGGCAAAGGCAGGCGGATCTCTGAGTTTGAGGTTAGCCTGGTCTACAGGATGAGTTCCAGGACCAGCCAGAGCTGTTACACAGAGAAACTCTGTCTCCCAAAAAACAAACAAACAAATACCCAATCCTAATCATTCATTCCTCAAGGCCTATCTTCACAGGATCTCAAAAAAACTGTAGTTTTTTATAGGAAACAAGCAAAAATGCAAAAATGTTACAATTAAGAACAAAAGATCCTTTCAATATTAGTGACACACAAACCTGAGCTGCATGCCAATGTTGAGATTGTGTAGAAAGTTACCCCCAAAAGCCATACAGTCCTGAGAAGTGAGCACAGCATGAATCCACCCTGAAACACACAAATCAATGATGATTCTGTTTCTAAACTAAACAGATGTTATTCTACCTGTGAAGTAAGTAACTTATATACCAATATCAATTTACTTCATACACCAGCACTAAAGAAGTTAGGCTATTACAATTGATTGACTCATTCACTTGAGTATTTATTTAAAGCGTATCATATGCTAAAGCTTTTTGATGAGCCTGAGGGGGTAAAGTGAGGGTTTGGGATAGTGACCACCAATACTTCTTTTGTTTTATTTTGTTTTAAAATAAACACCTTACAATGAAAAATTTTATTCTGAGAGCAGTCAAATCTGGTTTGAATTAGGAAATAACGTTTTCCATTACCGAATATAAGATTGGGTGAAGGCGGGTAGTGGTGGTGCACACCTTTAATCCCAGCACTCTGGAGGCAGAGCCAGGCGGAGTTCGAGGTCATCCTGGTCTACAAAGTGAGTTCCAGGACAACTAAGGCTGTTACACAGAGAAACCCTATTTGGGGGTGTGGGGTGTGGGGGAGATTGGTTGAGGAATCTGCTTCCCTGGTGCCGCCATGAAGGAAGTCCCCTGGAAGGAATACGGGAATACTCAGGGAAAGATTGGGAACACAATGTGACACCCTGCTCCAGCAGAAGAAAAGGCAGACACCCACATTTAAATGGGTGGAAATTGGGACTATGAACATTAAATGCTGCTGATTAAATGTTTTACTTCCATTACAGTGTTTGCAAAACGAGAGACAGTTCTAACAGAGGATGTCTAACTTTTTAAATGTTAGCAGACTGAATGAAAAGCCATAAAAATATAAGTTTTGCTGGGCATTCATATAGGTAACAAAGCATGTTCAATAAAAACCAGGACTAGAAACTAAAACTCCATTATTTAAACAATGTACTTATACATGGTTTTATAACCATTTCCATTTAGTGTACTACTGTGCATATTAAAGAAAACTAGAGCAAAGTTTGTTTAGAAAGTTGCTAATCATCTTGGGGAAAATCCCATTGCTTAGAGCAGTCCCGATGCAGTCCTCAACCTAGCACCATCAGCAAGCAACCTGTTAGAGATGCAAATTCTCATGCCCATCCTGCATCTACTGAATGAGAGCCTGAAGAGAGAGGCCCAGAAGCCTGTAGTTTACCAAGCCCTCCTGGTCATCCCCATGCTCCATGAAGCTGGACAGGCCCCAAATTACACCAATGCTGATGAATTTCAGCTGTCCCTGGCTCACACGTACTGATCCGCAGACTCATGACTCTTAACACTGCTGTGAATGCACGCACATAGAAAAACCGCATTTCTTCATTACACACTCCAGTAGGTCACTAACTTAACTTTATAAAAAGTTTAATCTATGAATTTTAATTTGATTTTTAAAAGGATACAACAGAAATATTATACTAAATAGCAATAGAAGAGTTAAAGGCAGCCTTTCAAAAGTCAGACATAAATCTTAATACTTCTAGATAATGATTCATTAATTTACTCAAGCTTAATTATTCTACATCAGAGGCAAAGCAGAAAAGTAGAACATGTAATAACAGCTCTGTAAATTGTATAACCATAAGGTCACCCAAGCCCAGAGAGGATAGCCTGCATATTCATTTACACTGCCAACCAATGAATTAATACTTATGCTTGAGATATACAGTACAGAGAAGTTTGGTAGTCCTCAAAGAATTAAGTATCGTTAAGTAATGTAACACAGCAATTCTATTTGGTACATACTCCAAAGAAATCAAATGAAAACATGCCTCTACATAAAAGTTTGTACAACTGTTCAAAACAGCACTATTCATAAAATCACTAAGTGGAAAGGACCCAAATGTCCATCAACTAATGAATGGGTAAGCAAACTATTGTATATCCTGCAAAGGAGCATTGTTAGGTGAAAAAGATTCAGCACTCAGGTGTGCTGTGGTGTAGATGAGTCAAGTGAATGTGGAATGTAAAAGAAATTACTCACAGCTGGGGATAATAATAGCACATGCCTACAATCTCATCACTTAGGAGGCAAGTTTTAGCTACACAGTGACTTACAGGCCAGCCTGGGCTATGAGATCCTGCCTTTATCAAAAACCCAAACAAACAAACAGAAGGGAAGAGAGAAAAATACACAGAGGGAAGTGGCTAGACACAAAAGGAAACATATTAAGTGTCAAAATAGGCAAATGCATAGAAAGCATATTAGTCCCTGCCAATGGGTCAAGGAAGTGGGATGGCAGTGTCTGCTAAAAAGTATGGTGTTTCTTTTGGACATAATGGAATGACTCTTCACTTAGATGGCAGTGATGGTTGTGTGATCATACTAATCTATTAAAAATCATGAACTTGTACCATTTAATAGGATGGTGATCAAGTCCTCTAAGGAACAATTGAGTCCTTAGTCCTTCTTAGGTAAGGCCCTCAAGGCTGTTTTATTTAACACATATGTTAAAGTCAAAGTTGGTTGTAATTACAAACTGACTCCAAGTGACTCACTATCAACTAACCTAGACCAGCAGGTTCTTCAGTGACAGGGTCCTAAATTGGAGGTGGCCAGGAAATGAGAAGGTAGAGAAAATAGAAAAGGTGAGGTTAGGAGATCTTGTACAAGCTATGTCTTATGCTAAGCAAGCTTATTAAAAAGTACAGCAAGTCACCAGAAACTATCACACAGCAGAAAAAAGTCAGTGGAAAGGTAATCAAACAATATTGCAAAAGGGTATCTCAAGAGCTTTATAGACAGAACACACGACAGCCTTTTAAGGTGGCAAGAATTGGGTTCTCAGGATCTGAACCAGCTACCCAAAAGTCTCAGTCCCAGGCTACTACTGGCTCTGTCAAGCATGTTCCTGGTTTTAGAAAAGGGACTGTTCTCCATACATTAGGGCCTCAGGGAAAGCCTCCCAAGACCCTAGCCCCAGGCAATTACTGGCTCTGTCAAGCATGTTCCTGGTTTTATTTTAAATGTTTATTTACTTAGCCTGCATGCCTGCACACACACCAGCAGAGGGCACCAGATCTCATTATAAATGGTTATGAGCTACCATGTGGTTGCTGGGAACTGAACTCAGGACCTCTGGAAGAGCAGCCAGTGCTCTTAACCTCTGAGCCATCTCTCCAGCCCCTATTTTTTCTTTATTTATGTATTTATGCATTTATTTATTTATTTATTTTTGGTTTTTTTGAGACAGGGTTTCTCTGTAGCTTTGGTGCCTATCCTGGAACTAGCTCTTGTAGACTAGGCTGGCCTCCAACTCATAGAGATCTGCCTGCCTCTGCCTCCGGGATTAAAGGTGTGCGCCACCACTACCCAGCGTGTTCCTGGTTTTAGACAAGGAACTATGTCATTTTCCATTCATCAAGGCCTCAGGGAAAGCCTTGCATCAGCCCAGCCTTCAACAATCAACTGTGAAGTAGGGATGAGATAAAACCTTACCTGTAGGAACAAATAAGGTATGTCCCTGCTTTACCACACATTTGTAGCATTTATCTACTTTATCTCCAAAGAACACCTCACTCTGGGTCACAGATGAGCTCCACGATTCGTAGAGTGCCAAATTTTCATTAGTTGGCTTTATCAAATAAAAAATCTTCTCACCCTAGAAGGAAGTAACCATACTACTTTGAAAAAGAAAACCCATTCTCAGCATGGCCTACATAGGTACAATTTCCCAATAAAAGCATCTAAACAAAACTTATGAGATTTTGTTTAGGTTGAAAAATGTCACATATTTGATCAATCCTCTAATTAGCAAGTTCACAGGCACTAAAACTTCTCCTATCTCCAACCGACAGAGTCAATAAAAGTCCTCTCCTATCTCCAACCGACAGAGTCAATAAAAGTCCTATCAAAAAAAGTACTGCAAGAGAGAAGATAAAGAAGCACAAACAGAAGTAAATTATGTTAGCAGGCTCTATGGGTCATAGCATAATCATCTCTCAAACCTCATGTTTAGAACCATAAAGATCTTATGGATAACTGATAGGTAGGTTTTTATTGAATTAAAAACTTGTAAATAAACTTCCTTTAGTGAACTTTTGGCATCTTCAGAGAACACGACCATATCTCAAGGACAGCATCAACTCTAGTCCTGAGAACTGCATTGGCGCAGGAATCTAAATCAGAACAGGTTCTTGGCCAAGCAACATGTAATTCAATGGTGACGGAATATTTTTTTAAATATTCTTAAACTGTGTTATGTCTCTAGTGTAGGAGTTATTAGCTACATGTAATATAACTAGTATGAATGAACTCAATTTTTATTTAGACTAAATTTTAATTATTTAAATCAAGCCACATAAGGCTAATGTTTATTAGGCAATGCAGTTCTAGATAAAGTAGAACAAATAAAAACTCTAAGTTTATTTTATAGAAATTTGTGATTTATACAACTTGTCTTCTCATTTTCATCTTAAGGCCAGAAGCAATTATCACTATAATTTTGCTCTTTCTTAGTCATTTGGTTCAGAAATTAATGTGAATTAACTAAGAAGAGGAAAACAAAAAGAGACAAAAGGCTAACAGAAATCAACCTAAAATACAGAAGTAAAGAAGGAATCTAAAATTAAACCTGAAATTAAAAAAAAAAGGAAAAGAAAAAAGAAAGCACCAAGGCATAAAATGTTTAAGCAGCAGAAAAATATTTAAATGTTTACAAATGTTACACAGAACAAATGAATGTCCTACCAGAAAAATAAGGCATGCTTTCATTAATAAGAAAGTAAGAAAGACCCTATTCTTACCCAGAGGACATGGTACCAGACAGAAGTCCCACCAAAGTCAATGTGGAAATCTGTATAGCTATCTTGAACTCCCATTAAGCAGTATTTCTGGACAAAGGGCTTAGGGAAGACTGAATCATCTGGCCAGTAATTTTCCACCCAGGAAAGTTTTCTGGCTATATCAGGGACCTCCACCAATTCAGACATCCTTAAAAAAGAAAAAAAAAAAAAATATATATATATATATATATATACACACACATACCAATGTAATACAAATTAAAGACTTCTTAAAACTGTTCTTCCCATGCCAACCCAAACAAAGCAATGAAATGGATTAACAATACTTACACATTCAAAATACATTTTATGTCATTATTATCACTATTACTATTATTATTATCATTGAGACATGGTCTCACTGTAACTTACACTGCTTCCAATGGATAGCTATAAAAGTCACAATTGTTTATTAAAATAAACATCATCATCAAACTACACTGAGCTAAAATTGAGACTGCTAAGGCAAACTGTCCAGAGATACTCACTTTGTATCTGAAAATTCAAGGCTGATCACATTTAACACTTTTGGTCTGTTAGGATTCATGAAGTATTGAACATAGTTGTGAAGTGTCATTTTGCTGTCTGCCTGCCTTGCCACATCAATGACATCTATTACTTTGTCACCACCTGCAGAGAAAAATTACAGTCTTATTGTTAACCTTTAAAGTTGCATAAGTAGATACTCTAAACAAAAATACTAAAATTCATATTTGTTTATTTTGATAACTAAGCCAACTATAAAACTGCATAGAAGGGGGGCTGGAGAGATGGCTCAGTGGTTAAGAGCATTGCCTGCTCTTCCAAAGGTCCTGAGTTTAATTCCCGGCAACCAAATGATGGTTCACAATCATCTGTAATGAGTCTAGTGCCCTCTTCTGGCCTGCAGACATACACACAGACAGAATATTGTATGCATAATAAATATTTTTAAAAAACTGCATAGAATTAACATCAATTGTAAAAACATACAATTTACTAATAAGCCTTTTAGTGTTAATGATTTCTTGTGGGTAGCTCATAATAAAAAAAATACATTAAATTGGGATATGAAAATTGTTCACTGTTTCCTGGGTTTCAATTTCTTTATACTGGGAATAGTAAAAACCCAGAGACTGATACTGAGGTTCAAGCTGAAGATCAGATAAGCAAACCAGCCAGCCACTGGCTCTTACCTCTACCTCAGACCGAAATGGGCGATCCTGCCTACAGGAATCCTCAGACCTGTCTCCTCCTGTCTTATATTCCTCTCTAGTGCTAGGACTAAAGGCAGGTACCACCACCACCTGATATTTATGGCTAACTAGTGTGGCTGCTGGGATTAAAGGTGTGCACCACCACTGCCTGGCCTGTATGGCTGACTAGCATGGCTGCTTTGCATTCTGATCTTCAGGCAAGCTTTATTTATTAAAACACAAATAACATACTACTATATTCCTCATGCATAAAAGAGAAGATTGGCTCTTCCCTTTAATTTCTATAATGCTTAAGAGTCTAAATCTGTTGCTTTAAAAAAAGGAAGGCACTGAGGAATTATTAAATATGTCATCAGAACAAATAATTTTTGTTCCATTAGTAGTGTCTTCTAATATTCACCTTGAAGAACAGTGGTCATCAAGCAAAAGCCAATCCATGTTAGTGCAGTCTGAGTGCTCACGTTCTAGGTTGTAATTACCTTGCAGTTTTCTCTGTAAAAACCGCAAGGTAGGTAAAGCTTGCAGACCTCTGCAGCACCACCCCCTTTACAATGGATTAACAGAATGAGTTAGGATTCAAAATATGGCAACAGCTACCAATCTGAAATAAAAAATTTAAGTGTTCCACTCTTATGCCAATGTAACGTCATATAAGCTAAATAATATTGCTCGATTTCTTTATCTTTATATAAAACATAATATTTCTACTACTGTTACTTTAACTGAAGAGCTTTGCAGTACTAAAAGTTAGTAGATAAAGCAGTTTGAACAACTTTTTCTGTAACTGTTACACTATTTACTTTAAAGGCAATTAGGTTTAAGTTAAATCTAAGTCTTATTCCCTAGTTTATCATATTTAAATTTAGATGAGTGTTTAAGTCAGAGCATTTAACTGGACTTTTCTGAATGCAACAATTAATAAAAATGAACAAAGAGACAAGTTCTTTAATATGACATGCCAAGGTAATAATGTATAGTAGTGGACACATAATTTTGAGACAAGGTAGATTTGGGTTCTGATTCTCAAATAACACCTATCTTTTTTGTTAGCAAATGGCAAATACATATTGCTAGTTTTATCTATAAACTTTATAATGAGAATAAATGAAAGGAATGAAAATGACAATCTGGCAATCGGTAATTTTTGCCTTAATTCTTACTTTCTTAGGTCTCAAAATCACACCAGTTCAGACATCATTAAATGGCAATACTGGCCAAGTCATTAACATAAATACATGTTTGAACTGAATCTTCTCTTTACAGTTCCTCCTCTAAGAGACAGGAGGTCAAGAAGCAGGATCCAGAAGACTAGGCTCAGACTGATCCCTCATTCTGCAGATGCTAGAACCTATCCAGTTTCTCATGTCTTCTCAGAATCTGTGGCAGCCCTTCAGTAATGACTTTACCTACACAAATATCAAATTTAGTAACTAAGAGACTGGTAGGATAAGCTGATAAAATAAGAATAGATAAAATGTTTCATTCTTTTCTGACCATTGTTGGTCTGTGCATTCAACAAAAGCACTACTGGATTTCACTTTTCCTGACCTTTATGAAGCATCCAGCACAAAGAACTGATATATTCCATTCTATATCAATACTTTTGGGACACTATCATTTATAGTATTTCCATGTTTTTACAAGAATTTAAAGGAACCAATTTCGTACCTACATAACGTTCCACATCCATCACTGAAAAATCAGGTGAAGGGAGCCTGAGTCCAAGGTCCTCTAATCTAGGGACCATAATAGGAAAATCAAATCCATGTTTCTCCAGGTATCTTTGTGTCAGCTGACTGCCATGCATCTTTACAATGATTTCATCGGCACTAAGAAAAACGTAAGAGTAAAATGTCATTTTTAATCATAAACTGTTTATAAAAGTCCTGTGGTAATGAGTCAACATGGAGAAAGAATGTGTATTTGTATCAGTGGTTCTCAACCTAATTCTCCTCTTTAAATAACTTTAGAACCCCCAAAGTAAAATTCATATTTAAATAATAAAATAATAGATCATATGGGAATGTAAAATATTGCATGCAGTACAACAGTTATGGAGTGAGGCAAATTATGTATTCATATGAAAAGGTACCTATAATATAGATTATAAAAGCAAATTTATATAATAATACCATTCATAACAAACACAATCACATTTTTTTCTTTTTTGCTTTTTTGAGACAGGGTTTCTCTATGTAACAGCCCTGGCCTCCCTGGAACTTACTTTGTAGACCAGGCCTGCCTCTGCCTCCCAAGTGCTGGGATTAAAGGTGTGTGCCCCCACCACCCAGTTTAAAAAACAAAACAAAAACAACTCTCTCTTTTTATTTTTTTTGCTTTTCAAGGCAGGGTTCACAATCACATTTTTAAAGAATTAGACATATATACATTTATAAACATCAATGTTTTGATGTAGAAAAGCTCAAAAGACATTAAGCCTTACGGAGGGAATTATGAAAACCTACTCAATTTATTTTATATACTATGTAAATGACATCAACTATATTTAATTCAATACTTATTATTATTTTACTATAGTTTAAATAATAAAAAGCTTGCATAATTAAAAATAGCCCTTTAGCTGGGTGATATTGACACTTGTCTTTAATCCTAGCACGTGGGAGACAAGCAGATCTCTGTAAGTTTGAGGCCAGCCTGGTCTACAAAGTGAGTTCCAGGACAAGACACAAAAAAACCCTGTCTTTGAAAAAAATAAAAAATAACAACCTCGACATTTGTGATCACTCTAATGTATTCTCTCCTGTGTTTACACTGGCAGAAAAGCGTATAAATTACTAATGATTTGAGGGCTGCAAATCTTGAGAAGTGAAAGCCATTATCTCCTCTCCCTGAAAAATGTATACCCACAGACATTAATTTGAATAATTTTTTTTTTTTGAGAACATAAACCACCTCTGAGACCTGTAAATAGGCCCAGACTAAAAATGTAGGGCTAGGCCCCAAATAAATCAAGCATTGTTGAGTAAAAAGGAAAACAAGTAAACTTTCTCTTACAACTTGGAAACTGGTAAACGACAGCTTGAGAACAAGAATCTAATTCAGCAAACATCACGTAGAAACTGTTTCCTGTGCTTTCTATTCTCAGCCAACCTGAGGGAGGCCAATGTGGATGGTTTTTCATCCTGTTTCTGTTTAAGGACTAAAAGGTGGTGAACAGAGCAGAGAAATCTAAAGACAGGGAAAATTTCAGGGCTTTCACTTCAGTATCTGAAAGTAATTCCATAATAGGCTGAACGTGATACTGTGATTTAAATTTAAATTGTGCTTCCTCTTATTAACAAGCTGAGATAAGATCTTGTGTAAAGCCTATTAAGCCTTATCTCTTTAAATAGATGTCAGGCAGTGAGTAGGAAATGACCTGAATTAGCATGATTAAATGTTTTATAATGCTTTTGATTCTCTCTTAGCCTAGACAACTCAAATATACTTGATTATTTTTCAGAATCAAAAATCTCAGTTCTGATGCACCAGAGGCTAAGCAATGGCCCTGCATGCTTCTGGTGGACCCAGGAAACAGGCAGTGATTTAAGAATCAGTGATTTGAGAAAAAGAGGTGCAAAATAGGGAAAATAAGAAGAAAGAAAAAGAGAACACAACGGCTACATTATCAGAAGGAGTCAGAAATGAGAACTGCTTCAAATGAATATATTTCAAATTCTGGGGATGAATTATATGGTGACCCAGTATGCATATACAAAACATAAGTACTGATAGTTTTACTTCTTTTATAGAAACAGTGAAAAGCCAGTTGACACCAATAGCATGGTGGCACCTAAATTTGAAAAGACCACGTTAGGTAATCCCACTTCATTAGCCAATGCTGTTAAATCTTGTTTGAACCAGAACAAGGTTCCATACCTTGGGAAGACTCTAGAACGTAGTTCTTTAACAAAGGCCCTAGTTCCAGCTTGCACAGGTTTGGAGCCATCATCCACTTCTGTGTAGTCATGCCTGTGCCAGTTCCTCCTCTTTTTCACTGAATTTGTAGAAAGTCAGGAAAAGAAAACATTTTTTTTTGGTAACTGGTAATGCTATATGGACTATCTAATTGCTATAGTTACCTAATAAGAAGTAACAGCTATAGGTATAAGGAAATGCTTGCGTTTTTAATGCATTCCCAGATCACAAATGAACATTTTACAAAAGCTAATGCTGTAATTATAAATAACTAACTGTGGGTTTTTAAAAGCCTGATCATTTCATTCAAAATAATTTAAAAATTAAAGAATTAAAAGCATCAAATGAAGTCTTTATTTACTCACATTTAAGCATTTCCAATTATGTAAAATCAGTTTATTAAAACACTGAGTCAGTCATATTACGATTAACCACATCATCCAAATTATCTCTCAGGATAAGGCATTTTATCACACACCAAAAATCCATCCAAAACCAAACCATCACTCTCTTTTATGTTAGGCTTCAGTCTCTAAATACGCACATTTATACTGACACAAAGAACAGAGATCAGTTCACCAAGACGGAATTAAAGCAAGACCAGTGCTGTGATAAAACAAAAACTTCAAGGTTAGTTCAGATACTAAATTCCTATGGTTCTAAAGCTGGAGGGTGGAGGAGATTATCTTAATTAGTCCTAACAATGAAAATCAATGAAAATATTTAATTCTTAGTTCATCCATCAACTTCCTCTGCAACCTTGGGAAGATCATTTGACACTTCTGGATCCAGATTCCTCAAAGTGAGAATGAAGGAGATGGATTAGAAAAAAACAACTATGTGATTTCAAGATATTTTATTATTTTTGAGGTAAGGTTTCACGTAACCCAGGCTACATGACCTTAAATTTTGATAATCCAGATACCACCACTTCCTGGAGTGCTGGGATTATAGGCATAGCAAGCACATAACCATACCCAGTTTTATGTAGTGCTGGGAATCAAACTTTGGACTTCATGTATGCTCTACCAAATGATTTATGCCTTAGCCCAATTTCAAGTTATTTTAAGATCATAACACTAGGTCTCTTTAGAAAACTTGTGAATTACATTTGAATCTTCCTAAGAAATTCCACTAATGTATCCCTTGTGTATTATTTTTTTCTCATTTGAAACTATTCATACAGTAGCCAGAGAGATGGCTCAGCCAATAAGAACACTTGTTGCTCTTACAGAACACTAGAATCAAGTTCCCACCATCTAAATCAGGTGGATCTCCAATGACCTCTTCTGGCCCCCTACGGTACCCACACAGGTGCAAACACATATACAGAAACACAAACACATAAAAATAAAAACAAACCTTTAAAACCATTCCTATAGTTCAAGGACATCCTAGTGTAGGTTTTCCTCTATTATATAGATATAACTTATTTCCATCTGGTATCATATGTTTTTATATTATTTTCTTGTTTTATGGGCATTAAGTAATCAGAAGCAATTTAAAAGCAGACAACAATTTTAAGGTGTAGATGTGTCACGATATAATTATTTTGATTCTTAAGCACAGTGGTGGTTTGAATGAGAATGGTTCCCAGAGAAAATATCTTTGAATACTTGGTTCCTATTTAGACTGTTTGGGAAGAATTCACAAGTGTGGTCTGGTTGAAAGAGCTGTGCCACTGGGAGGCAAGCTTCGAAATTCCACAAGACTGTAATTCCCAGTGCACATGTTCTCTCTGCCTCATGGTTGTTCATCCCAATGTGAGATCTCAGCTGTTCCTTTGCTCCCCCATCATGGACTCTAACCCTGTTAAACTATAAGGCAAACTAAATACTTTCTTCCTAAGCCACCCTAGACATGCTGTTTCATTGCATTTGCAGGAAAGTAACTAAGACAAGCGCTTCGTTTGTTCTCAGTCTTTCTCCATATGACACTATAATTAACAACCATGAACATAAACCTGTTTCTGTGATTAACTCAAGACACATTTGCAGAAATGCTAGAAGACAGTGTGCTGATTTGACTAAGAATGGCCTCCAGAGGATCATATATTTGAATACTTGGTCCCCAGTTGGTGGCTGTTTGGGCTGGATTAGGAGGTGTGGTTTTCTTGGAGGAGGGATGACACTGGTTTCAAGCCTCCCACCATTCCCAGTACACTATCTCTGCTTCCTGCTTAGGAATATAGACTGAGTTCAGCTGCCTTTCCAGCCACCTGCTGTCATGACTTCACTCCGCCATAGTAAATGCTAACTCTTGGAACCATAAACCTCATTAAACTCCTTCTTTTGTAAGCTGCCTTGGTCGTGGAATTTTATCACAGCACAGAAAAACTTATACAAAGAGCACTATTTTAAAGATATGTGTTATATATACTGCAAATACATACTGCCTCAAGAAAAGTGGGAGTAATTCACGTTTCTATCATACAGGTAGCCTAGCTCAAGGCTCTGTGTTAATAGGCATTATCATTTAAAAAGCAAAACAACAACAAAAAAGCTGTCCATTTGCGAAGTGAACTATGATGTTGCTTCCCTCCCTCTCCCCTGCCCCCAGACAGGGTCTCTCTACATCGTACTGGCTTTCCTGGAACTTACTACAGAGACCAGGCTAGTCTTGAACTCACAGATATCAACCTGCCTCTGCGTCCCAAGTGCTGGGATTAAAGACATGTGCCACCAGACCCAGTCAGATGTTCCATTTATTTATTTAAATTTTTGCAGAGCACATTAATCAGTAAAGTATACTCTCTGATGTGATAGCTATGGGTCCAAACTACAGCTCTGATGAATAACTACATAATATTTAATTAGATACTTTCTCTTATATCTCATATAACATTGTTGCACATATTGAAGGGGATAATATAGGTCAAGTATTTACTCACTATAGAATCTGGTATATAATAACCTACCAAAATACTATAACTTCCTCTAATGTGATGATCTAAAGATTAAGAGAAACATGCAACTGTCCTATTTGACCAAAAAGTTTGAAACATAAAATCATCCACTACAACAGCTGACTAAACTTTTCTTTTTTTTTTTTAAAGATTTATTTATTTATTATATATACAATGTTCTGCCTGAATATACACCTGCAGGCCAGAGAGGACACCAGATCTCATTACAGATGGTTGTAAACCACTATGTGGTTCCTGGGAATTGGACTTAGGACCTCTGGAAGAGCAGCCAGTGCTCTTAACAGCTGAGCCATCTCTCCAGCCCAGCCCCCTTTTTAATTTTTCTTAAGAGAAAGCCAGTGAAGGGATAGTTTAAGTAGTGGTCACAGGGGAGAAAATGTCTGCTTTGGTTGCATGTGCCTGAGGAACACACAGAATATACATATATTCAAATGTTGAGCAGCTTTCTGCTTTTTAAAATAGGCTCTTAATTCCCAACCACAGAGTATAGTATAATGAACCTTATTAAGTGGAAATTGTAATATCTCGATTATATCTACATTAAAGACATCTGGGATGTTCTGACAGAAACAGAAAACCCTGTGTTATCAAGAAACACTTAATAGCAAAGGGAAAGGAATCAAAAGGGATTACCCAATTGAAGCAGATGTTGAAGTATGAGGGAAGGTGAGCCTTAAGTCAAGACAAAACAGATTACTGCATCTTGGGCATCTCCCCTCTGAGTAGTCAGAGTTGGATGCTTGCCTAGAAGACAGCCAATCCCTGGCATGAAGTTCTTCAAAGAGAAGAGGGACTTGAAGGGTCAAGTAGTAGGCAAGTTTCTCTCTGAAGCATCATTATTCAAAGTGTAGGTTACAATCCATTACAGTCTGTGTAATCAGTTTAGCAAGTGTGTTAAGATTTTTAAAAGATGACATCATATGGAAAAAATAGAATGTATCCCCGTTCAAGTAGTACTTCCTCTTAGTAACTCAGTATTTCATACAAATAAAATTTAAATCATTTCATTTGGGGAATAAATATTTTGCACCAAAACTGATATAAAATTTAGTTGTTTCAACTGAAATAATAATACTGTACTATTTACTGCTTCCGTATTCTTGGCCAAAACTTACTTAACTTATATATAACATAAACCAAGCAAGATTCATGTAACAATTTTACCAGGTGTCTTAATTTTAAGTTTTATACTATATAATATGAAAACAGGTAACTATATTTGACATGAACTATTCTTGTGCAATACTACAGCTTAAATTCCTAAGTCTCTTATAAATTATAAGAATTATTAATATTTCTAATAAATGATCAGTCTAATTGTTACTAAGTTTTTTTGCATGTTATTTTCATATAACAAAGTTTCTACTTAGAAGAGTACAAGGGGGCAAAACTTCATATTCAAAACAGAGAGGCTATATATTACCTACATACCACCCACAGTTTATCAAATCACCCTCAGTCAAAAGTCCTTTCTTTTTTTTTTAAGTGAATTTATTTACTTTATGCTCATTGGTATTTTTCCTTCATGTATGTCTGTGTGAGGGTGTCAGATCCACTGGAACTGGAGCTACAGAGCTGTGAGCTGCCATGTGAGAGCATACAGGGCTCTTAACCACTAGGCCATTGGTGCAGGAGAATTGTCTGTATTCTGTCAATATGTTTTTGTGGTGCGGGAGAATTGTCTATATTCTGTCAATCATGTTTTGAATAAACTCTGATTGGCCAGGCAGGAAGTATAGGCGGGTCAACCAGATAGGAAGTAGAGGCAGAGCGATGAGAATAGAAGAATTCTGGGAAGCAGGAAGCTTCCTCCCTAGTCCTTCCCAGAATACTGAAGAAGCAGGATGTGATCTGCCCCGCTGAAAAAGGTACTGAGCCATGTGACTAACATAGATAAGGATAATGGGTTAATATAAGTTACAAGAGCTAATAAGAAGCCTGAGCTAATGGGCCAGTTTATAATCTTATGGAGACCTCTGTGTGATTTTCTTTGGGGCTTGCTGGCTGTGGGGTACCAGGGAGGACAGAAATCCCAACAAGCTGGCCCTCATGTTACAGGCCATCTCCCTAGCCCCTTGTTCCTTCTTGTATTGTTTTGTATGTTTTTGAGACAGGTCGCACTATGTAACCCTAGCTGGTCTGTTATGTAAACTAGGCAGTCCTTGTCTTCCTCTACCTCCTGAGTACTGGAAAGGGAAGCTGGAAGGACAGGCTTTGATTATTTGGGTGCTGGAGCTTTTGTCTTCAATGGCTGAGCTATCTCTCTAGCCCTTTCTAGTTTAAGAATAAAGTCTATGGTTTCCCTTTAATTTTATGAACACAAAAATTATAGTTTGCAGTCAAAATTTTTTAAATAAATAGCTATATTCCAAAGCCATTTAAATATGACATCTTAATTTAGTTTTTGGAAGTATCTGTAAAAGACCGAATATCTGTAAAAGATGAATGTTGTTTTGTTTCTAATGCTGGTCTACTCCAGACTAGTGAAAGAAAAGGATTCCAGCCTCCACCTTGTCCTCTCTGAAAAGGACTGCCATCAGAGACTTGCTCTGACCTTATCCTCATCTCTATCTTCCCATGGATATCAGGGGTGGGGAAAAAGAAGTTTTAAGCAGATATTCTTTGACGATCAAATTCATAAATGCATGTAATATTTTACCTATCAATACCCTGATTTTTTCCTAAATATACAATGTGCATCTGCCCATGAGAGTCTAATCTTAACTCTGCATACTGATTCAATACAACATGATTTTACCAGTTGCAATAGGTTTACAGAATCAGGCAAGCTGTTCTTTGCCATGGTTTGTAAATTGCAAGGTTTTTGTTTTTGAAAGATGTACTTAAAATTTGAGGGCTCTCCATGAACAATTAAAAACGTATTTTCTCTTCCTTATTCCTGTGACATATTTAATAATTCAAACAAAGGCTTATTACACCTGGAATCCCAGCACTCAGGAGGCACAGGCAGGGGGATCTGTGAGTTCAAGGCCAGCCCGGTCTACAGAGTGAGTTTCAAGACAGCTACACAGGATACATAGAGAAACCCTGTCTCGAGAAACAAAACAAAACCCAACTAAAAGAAAGGAATTTGGGGCCAGTGTGGGCTATCTAACCAGACTGCCTCAAATTGTTAATTACTATTTTCAGACAAAAAAGTATTTCAGTGAAATCTTTCCTACAGTTCTTGGTAAGCATTGTGATATTTACTAGAGTATCATAAAAATACCATCATATACATGCTAAGTTTCAAACATTTAATTTTTACTTAAGCATCTAGTACTTACTCAAGGAAGAACCATGCAGAAGTGCACAGTTGGGACAGTGATATAAGTCAATGTCAACAGCATGATGTTCTTCTACACCAACACAGCTAAGATAAAGACAAAAACAAAACATGAATGGAAACACTTTACTTAATTATAAAGAAATGTTTGAACTTGAAGTGAGAAATGTACAATAACTCAAATAGCAAATTTAAAACACACACAAGAATAAATTTTATTATCCTCTCCCTCCATACATTTGCTAATAATTGTGGGTGAGAATATATCCAAATGAACATGAAGTTATTCACTTCTAACAGCAGTGGAAACACCAAAAATAATGTAATTATAAGCATGAAACCCTCAAGCACTATGAAAATGTCATCTGTTCTGAAATTATTGTCAATAAGATAAGTCAAAGGTAAGTCATAATGAAATTCTGGACATTATTTTCATCTTTTATGTACTACATAGTGTAATTTGTGGGTTGTAGAATTTGCAAACAGAAATGTATATCCTTAAGTGAATGTGTTTGAAAAAGGAAGACGCATTATTGAGCAAAGCATATACAACTCAAGATGTTACCCAGAATATCAAAACAAACCCTTAGCAAACAAGTACCATCAAAATTTTAGTTTCATTCTTCACAGAACTAGAAAAGGCAATCCTAAAATCATGTGAAAATATAAAAATAATTCTAAACTGAAAAGCAATGCTGGAAATATCGAGATGCCTACTATCAACTTACACTACCTAGCCACGGTGACAGAAACAGCGTGATATCCCCAGAAAAACAAGTGGTGCTAGGCAAACAGAATGGAAACTTGGTGCCTCTCTCTCTTCCAGAGTAAGAATCACTTCAAAACGGACAAAGATCTAAGTAAAGACTTCAAAATTTGAAACTGTTGGAGGGAAGAATATTCAAAGCACTGGAACTAGGCACAAGCAAGGACTTTCTGAAAAAGGCTTCTAATAGCACAGAAAGTAACCCCTAGATCTGGCAAATGTTTCTGCGTGGAAGTGAAAAGGAAACAAGGCTCAGCAATTAAGACCACTGGATGCTCTTTCAGAACACCTGCGTTTGATTCCCAACAGAAATAAATTTTTTTCTAAAGATAAATAAATCTTTTTTTGTTTTGTTTTATTTTTCGAGACAGGGTCTCTCTGTAGCTTCTGAGCCTGTCCTGGAACTAGCTCACAGAGATCTGCCTGCCTCTGCCTTCTGAGTGCCTAGATTAAAGGTGTGCACCCACCACTGCCCAGTTCATAAATAAATCTTTAAAAAATTCTTCTGAAAATCACTAATAAAATTCAATTTAATCCCAATCAATGTGAAATCTCACAAGATAATTCTTACTGATGTCAAAATTTTAAAAAGCCAAGAATATACAAGATAGTCAGATATTCTTAGAAAAAAAAAGTTCTACTACATATGAAAATTTATTTTAAAGGCCACTCAGAACACATGTCAGTGCTCCCAAAATGCAGAGCTATATTTTACATAGGACACTTATGCATAACATAGGAGGGTCCACTAAAGACTTTTCAATGAAAGGTTCTACTGAGATACATTTCATTTAGTCATATGAAAAAAAGAAAAAATCTTACAATTGTTGATGCAATGTAAAAATGTATTAGTAATTACCAGGCACAGCAGTACACACCTTTAATCCCTGGACTTGGGAGACAAAGGCAGGTGAATTTCTGTGAGTTTGAGGTCAGCCTGGTCTATGTAATAAGACCCTGTCTCAATAAAAGGGAAGGGGATTTAAATGAGATTATAAACCTAAGTACAAACAAAAGGAAAACGCACAAAAATGTATACAGCATAATACCGAAAATATGACTTTGTGGTAGAAAGCTTATCTTAAAGCACAGACGCACCCACAAGGGGAGAAACAGCCATGTTAAAGTAATTTCTGTGCATTAAACTACAACTTATGATAAAGAGCAAAATAAGTCAAGAGTAAGGACATTTCAATGTAGATACTCAAAGAAATTATACCATATCCAAAATATAATGAACTCCTCTATAAATCACTAAGAAGCAATATTATTTCCATAATATTCTACTATACCAGCTAAAAAATACCAAGTGTAAAGATATTAAATGTTGAAGAATATTTAAGAATACTTAAGCCGGGCGGTGGTGGCGCACGCCTTTAATCCCAGCACTTGGGAGGCAGAGGCAGGCAGATCTTTATGAGTTCAAGACCAGCCTGGTCTACAAGAGCTAGTTCCAGGACAGGCTCCAAAACCACAGAGAAACCCTGTCTCGAAAAACCAAAAAAAAAAAAAAAGAATACTTAAATAAATTACTAGCAGAAGTGTAATTAAATACAATTTTAGAGAACAAAACACATGCAATGTACACCAGAATACCTTACCTATATGCAAATGGATATCTATTTATAACAGCGTATCAAAAATATAGTATATTCTCATAATAGAATTCATACAGAAATAAATATTCAATGAAGAACTACAGTCCTACACAATGAACAAATAAATTCCACAAATTAGAAGGTTAGAGAGATGGCTCAGCACTTAATAAGATAATGTGTATTATTAAGATAATAACTTAATGTGTATTGCTCTTACAGAGGACCCCAATTCAGCTCACAGCACCCATGGATAAGTCACAAGTGCCTGTAACTCCAACTCCAGAGAATCTAATGTCCTTTTCCAGCCTCTATGGGCACTGCATAAACCCACATTCAGACACACATAATTTTTTTGTAATTCTAAAAATTAACCCATTAAGTTTAAAAAGAGAAAAACAAATAGAAAAAGACACAGGTGTCATGGCACACACCTGCTATCCCAGCATTAAGAGGATCACCAGCTCAAGGACAACTTGGGTTATGTAGTGAAACTGTTTTAAGAAAAAGAAAAATTAAGATATGAAAGAAAGAAAGAAAGAAAGAAAGAAAGAAAGAAAGAAAGACAGACAGACAGGAAGGAAGGAAGGAAGGAAGGAAGGTGACTGGGCATGGTGGTACACACCTTTAATCCCAGCAGTCAAGAGGCAGAGCTAAGTGGGTCTCAGAGTTCAAGGCCAGTGTGGAAAACAGAACAAATTCCAGGAGAGCCAAAGCTGTGAGGGCCCAGGCTGAAGGCCTGTTCTAACTTGACTGAAGGTCAAAATGAGGCTACAAACTAGAAACCCTGACCTAGGGTATGGTCACTTGGTATTTTGGACATTGAGATGGCCAAAGAGGAAGATCCACTCCACCTTGACCTCAGGTCAGAGAATTCAAGCCCATTCCTGCTCCTTCATTTTAAAACAAGAAATTTGACCTACAGGATACTTTGTCTAGGGTGTATTCACCGCATATCCTGCCCGAAACATCAAATGCTTTACTCAGGAAATCATGGCTTGATGTCTCAGGTATTGAAGCAAGTAACTGTTCTGGTTGTCCTTTGTGAAATGTTAAGGTAGTCTTTTGCCCCACCCCCACCCCCGCTACCTTGTACTGGGATATAAAAACACATGAAAATTAAATGTCAGCAAATTCAGTATTCGTTGAGTTGCCCTCGCAGTACTATTCTATGTCTCTGTGTTTCTTTCATATCTCTAATAATCCTCCCTCTGCTTTAACCATGGTCACAGTGAATGGAGAGGATAATTAAGTCATTAACAGAGATATGAATATAAGAATCTCTTACATGTTGGTATTACAGTGCAAGAAATGTTTTGTAGAGCAGATTTGTGATATAATTTACCATCTGCCCTCTGCCATCTTCTGTCTAACCCATCCCTACACACACCTCCTGCAATAACAGAAAGTAAGCAGCAACAAAGCCTGAAGGCTGAAAAACCTTGTTCATAACTGATTCCGCCACAAGATGCCTCTTTCATGCTGCTGATTTCATACATTTTAGTATGTTTCGGTTTTGATTTTTGGTTTTATGTAACTGAGATAAGATATGCCCCGAACTCCTGATTCTACATTTATCAAATTCTATCGGGGATGGTAAGCAGGTGTCTATAAGCTCAACTTCATTATGTGTTTTTAAATATAATTTATTTAAAAATTTTACATGTATGGGTTTTGTCTGCATGGGTACATATGCATCGTGTGCAAAAGAGGGCACTGGATTCCCTAGAACTGGAGTTAGACAGTTGTGAGCAGTAGGAACCAAACCCAAGTCCTCTGAAGGAGCAGTAAGTGCTCTTAACTTCTGAGTTATCTCTCTAGCCCCTAATTTCCATTTTTTCCTTGTGTGTGGTGTACAAGCCTGTAGAGACCAGAATAGCGTTATAGTAGTATATTATTTGTGTTCTAATAAATAAAATTTGTCTGAAGATCAATGCAAAGCAGCCAGACTAGTGAGCCATACAGGCCAGGCAGTGGTAGCACACACCTTTAATTCCAGCAGCCACACTAGTTAGCCATAGGGCAATGGTGGTGGTACAGCTTTAACCCCAGCACTAGAGAGGACTATAAGGTAGGATGAGACAGGAACTCGCTCTCGATCAGTCTAAAGATTTCATAGAGGTAAGAGCTCTCTAGTGGCTCTGCTTTGCTTTTTTGATCTTTAGGTTGAACCCCAATATCTGCCTCTGGGTTTTTATTACTCATGCTACATAGGGTGTCAAATTCCCTGGAGTTGGAGTTACTGATGATTATAGCCACCTTGGGTCCCCTGCAAAAATAGCAAGTGCTCTTCACCTCTGAGCCCCTTAATCATGTTTTGTTGTTGTTGTTGGTTTTTTTTTTTGTTTTGTTTTTTTTTTTTTTTTTTTTTTTTTGAGACAGGGTTTCTCTGCGTAGCCCTGAATGTCCTGGAACTTTTCAAACCAGGATGGCCTTCGAACTCACTGATATCCACCTGCCTCTGCCTCCCAAGTACTGGGATTAAAGGCATGTGCCACTACTGTCCGGCCTTGATCATGTACTTTTAACTGACAGTTTCCACCTAATCACTAGCAAGAAAAAAAATGTAAAAGTTTGTATAAATCTAGAAATTTACAAAATGCTTGATGACTACAGTTCCTTGTGAAATTCAAGATTTAGGGAATTGACATTCAACTAAAACAAAACTGTTTCTAACTGCTATAACACTCACACTGTGCCTCCTAATGCCCATAACCCATTAGAGT